GTGTGTTTTCGGTGCGCTACGACCGCCTCGAGAGAGGTATGTGTCGCTGTGGTGCCGCGCCATGTGACCCGGTCGATGTGGCCGCAGCTGTGTGCCGTGTGGTATTCTCGGTACACGAGAGGGGAACGCTGGTTCTACCCACTTGATACATTTAGCATCTTTTAAAGAAGTATTGATTAGAGATGAAACGGATATCCGGTAACTATCCGGTAGGCCGGATATCCGGCCTAAATTTACTATCCGGCCGGATACCGGATAGTAACTCACTATCCGGCCGGATACCGGATATTAAAAAACTACGACAATTTCCTATTAATAAAATAAAATACATTAATCTTTAAGGTAAACGTCAATAAAATGGCTTATAATAATGACGGCTTTTATTTTAAGTCCAAAAAGTTACAAAAAGTCATATTAAACCTTTTAAAAAAAATAATTTCTTTTTCTGGGCTATTCACTCTAATGACGAATACATAAATAGTAAATATCTGTTATTAAGTCGAAATATTGCGAAATAAAATAGGCGATCTTTTTTTCACTGATGGTCTGATGGACTAATTTAATTTTCGCTATTCAATCACACACTCACGATGGCAACCGAAATCGCCCGAATTGATCTGCCCCCTAGACAAGTGGCAAAATCTGACATTCTATTCGGACTGATTCGATTTTCGAAAAGTGTGACTAGTAGTGATGGGCCGACTATGGTCTTTGCCGACTAACCGACTAGCCGACTAATCGGTTTTCAAATTGCCGATAAGTCGGCCGACTAATCGGCAATGCCGATCATTCTAGTACCTTCTTGTCCGAAGAATAATATCTAGATTTCTCAAAGAAATAAGAATAATCTAGATTTCTTAAAAGAATTTATAACTTTTTGAGAAATAAAATTTCTTTAATATGAGAAAAAATAAAAAGCAACATCACAATCACATACCAAGTACCTAAAGTAGATGTCATAATTTTCGACGGCGGAGGGGTCAGAGGAGGTGACAATATGATCGCCTCCTGCTGTCAAAATGTATGGGAAAAATTAATTGATACAATGGCGTGATAACTGCTTATCGCGGCGCGCATCCTAGGCCCACTGATTCCTCTCCACCCTCCACGGTGATGGTCAGCGAGCTGAGGGCGTTGGGGTTGGTACCCCCGCCTACATTGCACTGACACCACCACCGTTTGATAGGCAGGGCCCGCCATACAGGTGGGCAATTGCCGGGACGGACTGTGATAGTTGATGGCTTTGTCCGGATTCAAATAGTTCTTCACATTAAGTCGATCGACGGATCTCAGGGGTTATTTATGTGGGTATTCCTCATCCTTCCGATGAGAGGAGCCCCACATAATCTACCACTTCCCCGCAGGGTAGGTATGCAATTCCATGCATATTTTACCCAAAAAAGTGTCATAATTTTTATATGGACAAATTGCTTAAACTTTACACATTGTGATGATTTCCTGGTATTTTTATCTAATCTTTAGATAAAAATACCAGGAAATCATCAAAGCCTGATTTCCAAAATTTGTAAATCAGGTGAAACCACTTTTGACTGATTTTTGCAGTCAAAAGTGGTTTAGATAAACGCCCTTGGTCTACCTCATAATCATCTTAGTGATTATGAGTTTTATTTCATTCACATATTTAATTTTGTAATGCGCCGATTATAATCGGTATATTTTGCCGAATAGTCGTCACTAGTGGGCCGACTACAAATGATGCTGAATAGTCGGCTTTCCCGACTAGTCGGCCCATCTCTAGTGACTAGTCTAGTTTACTAATAGACCCACTGATCGCGTACGAAGCACCTGTGCGGCGCTAAACTCGTCACGACATGCAAAGAGACAATGGGCTAACTATCCGGCCGCCGGATATCCGGCTATCCGGCCTAGCAGCTGGCCGGATATCCGGTATCCGGTATCCGGCCAAACAACTATCCGTTTCATCTCTAGTATTGATTCACCTTTGAGAGAGGGAAATACTAGCTGGGTAATACAAACTCTTGGCTCAGTTCATTCAACCACATGACGTCCATTGCTGAACCTATGCCTCTCTCAATGTTTTCCACATCACCTGATTACTATCTGCATCCAGTGCCTTATGAGGTCGTCGGTCCACTTTGCGTTTTCCACTCTAGAAACTTGCTGCCCCATCGGTCGTCAATTCTGCGTACTGTTTGCTCCACCCATTGCCACTTCAGCTTGCTCCAGCTGCAGCCGACTATGTCAGCGATTTCAGTTTGTTTACGGATCTCATCATTTTTGATTCGATCTCGTTAAGACACACAGAGCATAGCCTTTTCAATAGCACGCTGTGCAACTTTGAGCTTCTATAAGAGGCTTATACAGGGTGTTAGGTAAATGTGTTTATGAGCCAACACTAGCCCATATTAACATGTGCATATAAATGGTACGATGAATTCAGAAATTTGATATCAACTTAAAAAAACAACCCTGTGGTTACCGTATTTGAACATCGAATATAAATGTTCAAGAATCATGGAGTTATCGTGATACTGAGCGCGCTTGTCCCCAGGCAGCCTGCGCGTGAACGGCGAGGAGACACTGGGCTCCGCGTCGCCGCCGGTGCAGGACGCCGCTGCTCTACCTGACCTTAGCAACGCGCGCTACTGGGTCGGCGGCCTGCCCCCCGGCGCCGCCGACCACGCCGGAACCGCGCCGCCGTTGCTAGGGTGTCTAGGAGCACTCACGGTTGACCGCGAGGGATATAACATACTTGACACGCCCACAAGATATGGAGTGGAGCCGACGTGTGAGAATAGGGTGAGTTGGTAGTTGTTTAGTGCTACATTGTCCCGTCAGATGTCACTAGTCTACCCGTGCTTTGCATCGCGCGCTACTGGGTCGGCGGCCTGCCCCCCGGCGCCGCCGACCACGCCGGAACCGCGCCGCCGCTACTGGGCTGTCTCGGAGCACTCACTGTGGACCGCGAGGGATATAACATACTTGACACGCCGACAAGATATGGAGTGGAGCCGACGTGTGATAATAGGGTGAGTTGCCAGTTCTTTGGCGCTACATTGCCCCGTTAGATGTCACTAGTCTGCTTGACCTCAGCGCCACGCGCTCGTGGGTCGGCGGCCTGCCCCCCGGCGCCGCCGACCACGCCGGAACCGCGCCGCCGCTACTGGGGTGTCTAGGAGCGCTGACTGTGGACCGCGAGGGGTACAACATACTTGACACGCCGACAAGATATGGAGTGGAGCCGACTTGCGAGAATAGGGTGAGTTGGCAGTTGCTTCTTTGGTGCTTCATTGTCCGTCAGATGTCACTAGTCTGCCTGACCTCAGCAACGCGCGCTACTGGGTCGGCGGCCTGCCCCCCGGCGCCGCCGACCACGCCGGAACTGCGCCGCCGCTACTAGGGTGCTTAAGGAGCGCTCACGGTTGACCGCGAGGGGTACAACATACTTGACACGCCCACGCAGTATGGAGTGGAGCCGACTTGCGAGAATAGGATGAGTTGGCGGAACTTGGTGCTACATTGTCCCGCCAGATGTCACTAGTTTTGTGAATAATGTGTAGGAACAGTAAGTATTCCTGTCATCGTTATGAACGGGCTAACCAAACTAAATAAACATTCTACGAGATGGTATCATGGTGGTTGATAGGAATAATAAAAGCATCTCAACTCAATAAAAAACTGCTGGCAATATACTATCGGCAACAGAGTTAACTACCCATTGCCGGTCATGTCGTCTCGAAAGCAAAAACGGGAATAGATAGTTAACACTGTGGCCGTGTGTACGTTTCATTCAACGTTAGCGCTACGGAATATTTAGTTGGTCACTACTTACATTGTTTATGTTTTCTAACCGAATAATGTAAGAAATTGGGAGATATCACATTATAAATCCACTCTATCGCTTCCAGGTGCTCCGCTCAGCCATCCTGGAAGGCAGCGGCTACATCGAATTGGCTGCGCCCGCGCTCCGCCGCCGCGCTGCGCTGGGTCTATCCTTCCGCGCTCGCGCACCCGACGGCTTACTGTTGTATCGACCATCTGCTATAGAGGGGCAGGAAGGGAAGCCAGATGCTGATGACAAGCATTACTTAGTACTGCGGCTTGTTGATGGTAAGTTATCCTGGACGGAAGGGAAACCAGACTCTGATGAGTATGGTTGATGGTTGGTCATTTCAAGTGCTGCCAATCCGCGCGCGCGCGCCCGACGGCTTACTGTTGTATCGACCATCTGCTATAGAGGGGCAGGAAGGGAAGCCAGATGCTGATGACAAGCATTACTTAGTACTGCGGCTTATTGATGGTAAGTCATTTGAAGGCGGCGGCTATATCCAGCTGGCGCGCTTGGGACTGTCATTCCGCGCGCGCGCGCTCGACGGCTTGCTGTTGTATCGACCATCTGCTATAGAGGGGCAGGAAGGGAAGCCAAATGCTGATGACAAACATTACCTGGTGCTGAGGCTGGTTGATGGTAAGTCATACTAGAAATCGGTGGCTACATCCAGCTTGCACGCTCGGGTAGTCCTTCTGTGCACGCGCACCTGACGGCTTACTGTTGTATCGACTATCTGCTATAGAGGGGCAGGAAGTTAAACCAGGCACTGATGACAAGCATTACCTGGTAGTTACTGAGGCTGGTTGATGGTAAGTCATTTGAAGGCGGCGGCTATATCCAGCTGGCGCGCTAGGACTGTCCTTCCGCCGCGCGCACCCGACGGCTTGCTGTTGTATCGACCATCTGCTATAGAGGGGCAGGAAGGAAAACCAGACGCCGATGACAAGCATTACTTGGTGTTGAGGCTGGTTAATGGTAAGTCATCCTGGAAAGCGGTGGCTACATCCAGCTTGCACGCTCGGGTTGTCCTTCTGTACACGCGCACCTGATGGCTTGCTGTTGTATCGACCGTCTGCTATAGAGGGGCAGGAAGGGAAACCAGACACTGATGACAAGCATTACTTAGTACTGCGGCTTGTTGATGGTAAGTTATCCTGGACGGAATGGAAACCAGACTCTGATGAGTATGGTTGATGGTTGGTCATTTCAAGTGCTGCCAATCCGCGCGCGCGCACCCGACGGCTTGCTGTTGTATCGACCATTTGCTATAGAGGGGCAGGAAGGGAAGCCAGACGCTGATGACAAGCATTACTTGGTGCTACGGCTGGTTGATGGTAAGTCATTTGAAGGCGGCGGCTATATTTAGCTGGCGCGCTCGTGCTGTCCTTCCGCGCGCGCGCACCCGACGGCTTGCTGCTGTATCGACCTGCTACTATAGAAGGGTAGGAAGGCAAGCCAATGATAAGCATTACCTTATGCTGAGGCTGGTTGATGGTAAGTCATCCTGACAGACTGCGGCTACATCGAGCGTGTTTGAAAACTCATAAAAATATGTCAATGAGGGCTATCGTTTTAGCGCTCATCAGTCGGTGCTACTGTAGAGTAAGATCACTTGCCAGTAGCAAAGACAGTGGCACCAACTGGTGACCGCTGAATCGGTAGGGGAATTATTGCATTAATTTGCACTCACCAAGATGGCGCCACTGTATAGTAGGGCCATGTCAATCGCCAGTGGTGCTAACTCCTAAGTATAAAAACGAGTCGTCATTGATTGGTCGTACAACTACCTACCAATTAAGTATTGTGATTCATTTGTATGACTGCAATGCACTAGTGAATTTTCTATAGAAAAATGTGTGTTATGTTTATAGGCGATTTAGAAGTGAAAGCAGCTGCTGGGAAGGCAGAACTGAAGCTGCGGACTAACGGAACGAGGTTCGACGATGGACGCCTGTACTCTGTACGACTCATCCGAGCTCACAAACAGGTGATTACAGATATAGTTTAAGGATAAATAAGAAAGGGTAGCTTATTTAGATGAGAAAAGTATATGATTTCCTATACAATCAAGGTTGTAATTGTAAATCAAATCGCAGACTCGTTAAGAAGAGAGAGTCATTTATAAAACCCCAAAAAAAACTCATTATTTTTGCAAATAGGCTTTTAAAAAGCACTTTTACACGTCCCAGTACCCGTAACCCTACCACTGCTTCGGGACAATAAATGGGCCAGTGCTGAGAAGAAGCAGCGCAAGAAATTCAGTTACAATTGTCAGCCTCTTTTTCAAGGTTTACAATCTTTAATGCGATTCTTACTGGATCAAAGGCACAGTCGCAATCATCATCATTTCAGCCACAGGACGTCCACTGCTATACATATGCCTCCACCAATGACTTCCACATCGCACGGTTGGTAGCGGTCTGCATCCAGCGCCTTCCTGCTACCTTTATCAGGTCGTCGGTCCACCTTGTGGGTGGACGTCCCACGGTGCGTTTTCCGGTACGTGGCCTCCATTCTTGTCGCAATACGTTCTGTTTTTGCCATGTTAGGACCCAAGAACTGGTATGACATACAATGGCTTGTTTTCAGCTAGAGCTGTGGGTAGACGAAGAGAAGGTGGCGGGAGGTACCCTGGCCGGCAACGCCTACCCTGCGCGCGCACGCGGCTTGTTTATTGGCGGCGCGGGGGAAGAGGGGGCGGAGGTACCGGACTTCGCGGCTCCAGGATTTACGGGGACCGTGGCTGACTTTATTGTGGATGCACAGTGAGTAGACGATTTGGGTATATGGGTTATTTATTTTTCGTAAGTTAGTAGGTAGTAAGCGCAGTGATTTTTTTAATATAGGTACCATCGGCCACAGTGTTAACTATCCATTGCCTGTCATGTCGTCTCGTTCTATCGCAAAGAATCACCATTTGATTAGAACGAAAGAAAAAACGGAAATGGATAGTTAACAGTGTGTGATTGATTCATTCGATCGATTTCCGCCATGGCGACCACTTAGACTCCTATAACATGACAACTATTAAAATACGAAAATCAGGAATACAGCACAACTTAGACAGTTGTATCGGTATCAGGTTTATTTGCAATGCAGACTGAAGAGTCATACGTGTGTGAATGACTGTGTTTTCTCAGTACAGTCAAATTCTTGAAGTGTACGCACGTAAGTTCACTTGCTATATTTAAAAAAATATCTTCTTAAGTTTTCATAGTAATTTTAGTGTGCACTGTACTTAACGTTAGCTATGAATTTGAGGGCTGCGGATCACTTCATCACTAGCGGTCCGCCCCGGGTGCCAAGCATCAGGAGGTGACAATAGTCGCGCAGATTAGTACTCACTGGCGCTAACATCTTTCATTTTCTTCTTCTTCTTTTTTGATGATGTTGGCAATACACGTCGAGGTCGACTTGATTTGTGCCATTTTCAAGTATTTATGTGATACGAGTTACAAAATGAGACCAAGTAATGATATAATGAAGGATGATAGATGATACTCCTTCCCACCCTTTGAGTCTCAGTAAAGTTGTGGTGCTTTACTGAGACCTCCTATGGACAACTTGAGAGAACCAGAAGAATCACGATGCACTGTTTTGCTTCACTCGCCCACACTCGTGCACGTTCACGAACACTCAATGGTTAATAATCCACCATTATTACACATTAATAACGGCCCAAACACGATTTTGAGGAAATGAAACAAAACCACTAACATGACACTTCAGATTCCCGCCAAGAAGTCCCATCTTTCATCTTCGAATCGGAAAAATCCTAGGGGGGGCACCAGACCATTCTTGGGGGTGACTGGGGTCTTATGACGGGTACCAACCCATGCTACTCCGCCATTGGTCTTCATGACTTGTTTTTCGTTCCAGGCTGGTAGGCTTCGAGTCGGCGGTGAACTGGTCGTCGGCGAGGTTAGGCCGCGCGCACGCGCCGCCGCCCGCGCGCCCCGCGCCCCGCGCGCTGCAGGCCGCGCCCGGCGCCGCCGACGCGGGCTGCACCAAGGTATGGCCAGAGTAAATATAAATGGGTTAAAAACATAATACTGTAAAGTTTCAACAAAATCCGTTCAGTAGTTTTTGCGTGAAAGAGTAACAAACATCCAGACATCCAAACTTTTGTATTTATAATATTAGTAGGATCGGTTAAAAATATAATTTACAATAATATATCTGTAACCCTTAATTTAATAGTGGCGCCCAACGTGGGGCGGCCGGCTGGCGCCGCCGGCAAAAGAAGAAAATCAAAGGGACCTCACGTCACCTCTTTTTAAAGAATACGTTCGACGCAGACAAAGATAATATCTCANACCGCGAGGGGTACAATATACTTGACACGCCGACGCGGTACGGGGTGGAGCCGACGTGTGAAAATAGGGTGAGTTGGCACTTGTTTCTTTAGCGCTACATTGTCCCGTCAGATGTCACTAGTCTGCCTGACCTCAGCAACGCGCGCTACTGGGTCGGCGGCCTGCCCCCCGGCGCCGCCGACCACGCCGGAACCGCGCCGCCGCTATTAGGGTGCTTAAGAGCGCTCACTGTGGACCGCGAGGGATATAACATACTTGACACGCCGACGCGGTACGGAGTGGAGCCAACTTGTGAGAATAGGGTGAGTTGGCAGTTGTTTAGTGCTACATTGTCCCGTCAGATGTCACTAGTTTGCCTGGCGCCGGAACTGCGCCGCCGCTACTGGGGTGCTTAGGAGCGCTTACTGTGGACCGCGAGGGGTACAACATACTTGACACGCCGACAAGATATGGAGTGGAGCCGACTTGCGAGAATAGGGTGAGTTGGCAGTTCTTTGGTGTTACATTGCCTCGTCAGATGTCACTATTCTGCCCGACCTCAGCGCCGCGCGCTACTGGGTCGGCGGGCTGCTCCCCGGCGCCGCCGACCACGCCGGAACCGCGCCGCCGTTGCTAGGGTGCTTAGGAGCGCTCACGGTTGACCGCGAGGGATATAACATACTTGACACGCCGACGCGGTACGGAGTGGAGCCAACTTGTGAGAATAGGGTGAGTTGGCAGTTGTTTAGTGCTACATTGTCCCGTCAGATGTCACTAGTCTGCCTGACCTTAGCAACGCGCGCTACTGGGTCGGCGGGCTGCCCCCCGGCGCCGCCGACCACGCCGGGACTGCGCCGCCATTACTGGGCTGTCTAGGAGCGCTGACTGTGGACCGCGAGGGATATAACATACTTGACACGCCGACAAGATATGGAGTGGAGCCGACGTGTGATAATAGGGTGAGTTGCCAGTTCTTTGGCGCTACATTGCCCCGTCAGATGTCACTAGTCTGCTTGACCTCAGCGCCACGCGCTCGTGGGTCGGCGGCCTGCCCCCCGGCGCCGCCGACCACGCCGGAACCGCTCCGCCGCTACTGGGGTGTCTAGGAGCGCTGACTGTGGACCGCGAGGGGTACAACATACTTGACACGCCCACAAGATATGGAGTGGAGCCGACTTGCGAGAATAGGATGAGTTGGCGGAACTTGGTGCTACATTGTCTCGTCAGATGTCACTGGTGTTGTGCATAATGTATACTGTTCCTCTCATCATTATGAACGGGCTAAATAAACTAAATAAAGCTTGTACAAGGTGGCTTCATGGTGGTATCATATGGTTGATAGGAATTCCAAAACCATCTCAATGTAGAACTGCTGACAATGTACATTTCATTCAAAGCTGGCACTGCGGAATTTTGGAGTACTGGCTCACTACATTGTTTATATTTTCTAACTGTATTTTGAAAGTGGGAGATTATACATCAACAATACCGTTTTCAGGTGCTCCGCTCAGCCATCCTGGAAGGCACCGGCTACATCGAACTAGCTGCGCCCGCGCTCCGCCGCCGCGCCGCGTTAGGACTATCCTTCCGCTCGCGCGCACCCGACGGCTTGCTGTTGTATCGACCGTCTGCTATAGAGGGGCAGGAAGGGAAGCCAGACGCTGATGACAAGCATTACTTGGTGCTACGGCTGGTTGATGGTAAGTCATTTCAAGGCAGCGGCTATATCCAGCTTGCACGCTCTGGTTGTCCTTCCGCGCGGGTGCACCAGACGGCTTACTGTTGTATCGACCATCTGCTATAGAGGGGCAGGAAGGGAAGCCAGATGCTGATGACAAGCATTACCTGGTGTTGAGACTGGTTGATGGTAAGTTATCCTGGAAGGAAGGGAAACCAGACGCTGATAAATAGGTTAATTTGATGGCAAGTCATTTCAAGGCGGCGGCTATATCTAGCTGGCGCGCTCGGGCTGTCCTTCCACTCGCGTGCAGCAGACGGCTTGCTGTTGTATCGACCGTCTGCTATAGAGGGGCAGGAAGGGAAGCCAGGCGCTGATGACAAGCATTACCTGGGCTACGGCTGGTTGATGGTAAGTCATACTGGAAAGCGGTGGCTACATCCAGCTTGCACGCTCGGGTTGTCCTTCTGTGCACGCGCACCTGTTGGCTTGCTGTTGTATCGACCATCTGCTATAGAGGGGAAAGAAGTGAAGCCAGACGCCGATGACAAGCATTACTTGGTGCTGCGACTAGTTGATGGTAAGTCATTTCAAGGCAACGGCTATATCCCGCTGGCTGTCCTTCCGCGCGCGCGCACCCGACGGCTTGCTGTTGTATCGACCATCTGCTATAGAGGGGCAAGAAAGGAAGTCATAAGTGCCACTTGTGGTCTAAACTGAATAAATATTTTTGATTTTGATTTTTTGATTTTGAAGCCGGATGCTGATCTTATGAACAAAATCTACTGAATTCTACTGCACAACTTTTTAAAATACCGCCTCTGTGGTCTAGTGGTAAGACCACCTGCTTCAGACGCAGAGGTCCCGGGTTTGATTCACAGTGGGGGCAGATTTTTCTGTTCGGTTTGGTTGGTGGTAGGGCTTGTTCTAAGTCAGGAGGCCAAGAGCTTCCTCGTAGTGGATAAAAAAAATTGATTCAAAAATCCATCCATCGGATGATGGATTGATGGAGAATCTGGTTTTGATTGGTCATTGTTAATTTATTAGAACTATGTATGTCATTGGTAGATTAGGTACTAACTGCAACACATTGCTGATATTTGTAATAATATTTCCAGGCGATTTAGAAGTGATCGCAGCAGCTGGGAAGGCGGAACTTAAGCTGCGCACAAATGGAACAAGATTCGACGATGGACGGCTGTACTCTGTACGAGTCATCCGAGCTCATAAACAGGTGATTACAGATAATTTAAGGATGAATTAAAAAAGGGTCGTATATTTTCATTAAAAAATACGTGATTTCCAACCTTGATTGTATAGGCATCTCAGACTCGTTGAGAAAAGAAAGTTATTGAACTCATAAAACTCATTTACTTAATCCCAATAAATGGGCCAGTGCTGAGAAGAAGCAGCGCAAGAAACTCAGTTATTATTGTCAGCCTCTTTTTCAAGGGTCCAATTCTTACTAGATCAAAGGGACAGTCAATACGTTCTGCCTTTATCCATATTAGACCCCAAGAACTGGTATTTCTATTTTATTTTTCTTTATTCAGCTCTTTACATTATTAATACAAACAGGTATCTTTATAGTATGATTATACAATGGCTTGTTTTCAGCTAGAGCTGTGGGTAGACGAAGAGAAGGTGGCGGGCGGCACGCTTGCCGGCAACGCCTACCCCGCACGCGCTCGCGGCTTGTTTATTGGCGGCGCGGGGGAAGCGGGGGCGGAGGTACCGGACTTCGCGTCTCCTGGCTTCACGGGGACTGTGGCTGACTTTATTGTGGACGCACAGTGAGTAGACGATTTGGGTATATGGGTTATTTTTTTTTCGTAAGTTAGTAGGTAGTAAGCGCAGTGATTTTTTTAATGTAGGTACCATCGGCCACAGTGTTAACTATCCATTGCCTGTCATGTCGTCTCGTTCTATCGCAAAGAATCACCATTTGATTAGAACGAAAGAAAAAACGGAAATGGATAGTTAACAGTGTGTGATTGATTCATTCGATCGATTTCCGCCATGGCGACCACTTAGACTCCTATAACATGACAACTATTAAAATACGAAAATCAGGAATACAGCACAACTTAGACAGTTGTATCGGTATCAGGTTTATTTGCAATGCAGACTGAAGAGTCATACGTGTGTGAATGACTGTGTTTTCTCAGTACAGTCAAATTCTTGAAGTGTACGCACGTAAGTTCACTTGCTATATTTAAAAAAATATCTTCTTAAGTTTTCATAGTAATTTTAGTGTGCACTGTACTTAACGTTAGCTATGAATTTGAGGGCTGCGGATCACTTCATCACTAGCGGTCCGCCCCGGGTGCCAAGCATCAGGAGGTGACAATAGTCGCGCAGATTAGTACTCACTGGCGCTAACATCTTTCATTTTCTTCTTCTTCTTTTTTGATGATGTTGGCAATACACGTCGAGGTCGACTTGATTTGTGCCATTTTCAAGTATTTATGTGATACGAGTTACAAAATGAGACCAAGTAATGATATAATGAAGGATGATAGATGATACTCCTTCCCACCCTTTGAGTCTCAGTAAAGTTGTGGTGCTTTACTGAGACCTCCTATGGACAACTTGAGAGAACCAGAAGAATCACGATGCACTGTTTTGCTTCACTCGCCCACACTCGTGCACGTTCACGAACACTCAATGGTTAATAATCCACCATTATTACACATTAATAACGGCCCAAACACGATTTTGAGGAAATGAAACAAAACCACTAACATGACACTTCAGATTCCCGCCAAGAAGTCCCATCTTTCATCTTCGAATCGGAAAAATCCTAGGGGGGGCACCAGACCATTCTTGGGGGTGACTGGGGTCTTATGACGGGTACCAACCCATGCTACTCCGCCATTGGTCTTCATGACTTGTTTTTCGTTCCAGGCTGGTAGGCTTCGAGTCGGCGGTGAACTGGTCGTCGGCGAGGTTGGGCCGCGCGCACGCGCCGCCGCCCGCGCGCCCCGCGCCCCGCGCGCTGCAGGCCGCGCCCGACGCCGCCGACGCGGGCTGCACCAA